GTGTCGTGCGTCGACTTCTTCTCTGCATCTACAGCCAGGCTGACGTCCTACATATTCCCCAACTCCTTCTTCATCAAGCTGCTCAAGGCTTTCTATTCACAGCACATCAACCCAAACTCTAACACACGACAAACAGAAACGGTGAGACGTAGTGAAAAGAGTAGCAGAGTGTGACAGAGTGAACGAGAGAGGGAAACTGGAGACTGAGGGATTACTTCTCTTTGCCCCCTGAGCCCTTAAATAATTTAATGAGGCGAGCTCTGTATTGCTGTATTTGTGTGTTGAATATTTATTATGCATATGAAAATGCTATTGGCCAGCTGTTGGCAGTCATATGACTCAGACCTGTGCTATTTTTAAAGCTTCTTTACAGTTCAGAATTAAAACAGCCGTGGTTCTCTGGTTGTCACAGGTGGTTTTTAAAGTAACGGTCATGTCCAGGAATTTTGTAAATCTTCGCAGGAAAGGATTGATGATTTCTTCATTTTATAATAAGTTACTTTTTTTTAGAAGGGGAACGAGGGGATGAATACATGGTCATATTCATCCCCTCGTTTTTCATCTAGTTCCCAAACAAACAACGTACGCATAGATTTAAGGGAGATGGCGACGTACGCCGTAGGTCGTCGTCGACGTGCACTGCAGACCTGCTGTATTTACAGCGCTCTTCTTGCTGTTTCTTTGTCCGTGTTCTCTTCAGTCATTTATTATCAAAGGTTATTATTCACACTGATGTGCTGTCCAATGCATTTCTCCTGTGCCCATTATCACATTACCACCCCTCAGGCATTGCTGTTCATGTAAATTACATTTTGATGAACGCAGGCCGATGCAGAAAGTGCCCGTCATTGCTGTGATATGAAGGTCTAGTGTCCCCAGTGTAAAACAATATTGAATCTGGTGTTGTGGGAAAAAGGCAGTGTTAATGCAAAGTGAAGCCAGACTACACTGCTGATGTGCAACAGATGGCTCATCAGCTGTGTGTTTTCTTACACACAGACGCACATCCCATATATATTCCTGACATTATCATTTACCTTATCTTAAATACATAATCAAACCTTACCTTTTCCTGAACCTCGAAAAAGTAATTTTTTTTTTGTTCTTTCAACTTAAATGACAAAATACTGATTTTGGATTTTGATGCTTCAGTTCTAAGGGAGGTTCACCTAACCCAGGTCAACATGCTAACTGCCCCTCAGATCGTTTTATTTTGACATAAGAAATTCACAAATGCCCATGAGAGATGAGATCTACACTGATGTTTTTCAATAAAAACATAATTGACATAAAACTCTTTTACACACAGTTTTATTGTCTGACTAACCGAGGTTATGGCCCCAGTTGATTTTATTTTAATGGCGTTGCTGTTTTCTCAGCTCCATTGAACTCATAATCAGAAATATTTAGAACAGAAATTATAATGATCCAAGCAGCTTTGGACAGCAAGTGAACTTCAATTCAAACTTTAGATATAACTTTGGGCTAAAACCTATACACAGAGAAATCATAGGTCATGAACCGTAAATCCATCAAGACACAGACGTACTGTGTTGCTCAGAAAAAGCCATCAATCATCAACGTGAACTCTTTGACAGTCAGTTGGCGTTCCATTCTTCTTCCCTTGTTTTCTCTCTCTCACCAACACATGTACACGCAAAGGCAGTGGATCAGGTCTCCCTCCTTTGGCCATCTTCTCAGATGACACTACTCCAGCAGAAACATCAAAGTCTCTGTAGTCCTCCAATGGCTTACCCCTCTCCCCCCCTTCCTTCACAGTTGGGTTCCTTTATGTTTCTTCTCTAATGACTCATAGATGACTTTTCACAGAAGTTAAAATGACAGATAAAGGGAGAGAGCAGAGGTCAGGGGTGAGGCATGAAAAATCTACAACTGTGTATTCCTAGTTAACATTGTCAGTGCTGACCAACAGTTAAAACAGCTGGAGTTTCACACTGACCATACGACAAGCTGCACACACTGTGTTACTCATGCACATTAGAGTGAACACGACCGCCTGCTACTTGCCTGGAGCTAATGCTCGGGCTTCCCCACTCCCAGTCCTGCTGCAGTGCAACCAAGAGCTGGTTTCAAGTAACACGCACATTTTCAGAATTTACCACGCAATTCAACCTCTGCACTTACATCTAAGTCCTCTGTGATTTTTCTCAGGGTGCACAAACCAACATGAATTCCCAGCTCTAACTGTGGAACAGCTGCATCAAAGTTCCATGTATTTTTATATCGCTAAAAAGTGTTCGCATTTGGTGTGAACACATCAAATCTTTTTTACGATTAGGTTAAATTACTAAAGACATTTAAAAAATGAGGATAAAAAAATATTATCCAAGAATGGACAGAAACAGCCTGATGTTTTTCTTTGTGAAACCTTTCTACGTCAGATTTGACTTCTTTTTATGGCTGGTTAGAAAATAAGCTGAATCCAGAAGGTCTTCTCAGTGAGGAGTGCAGCTATGTGAAAGGACAAAAAAAAAAAAAACCCTGTTAGAGGAGGAGTCAGGGCCTAATTTGTAATGTTGGGGGTGGATGTGCTCCCGCAGTTGCCATAGACACCTTTCTCAGTCACTGGGCTGCTGCTTTTATTCTTTTCATTTTGAGAGAGGAAAGCTGAGACACACAGGACCTGCACATGGGAATGGCACTGGGATTCACACCTGGATGTTGCAGTTTTATTAGACCTCTCTGGAGCTTTAAATCCAACAGATGAAACTTATCAGTTATTGGAAGAGTTGCACATATTAAGGTAAAAAAAAACATAATAATAATAATAATAATAAATAGTTTTGCAATAATAACTGGCTTCTAAGCTATTCTAATCTAGCATCTTTTTATTTAATTTCAGTGTGATTCTAACATTTTAAAACCATAATCTTTCTCACTGAAAATGGTTTTTTTTTCGTTCAGAAACAAGTAAGGTTCTGTTGGGTTTTTTTGTTTTTGTTTGATTGTTTTTTCATTGTTATTGCTTATTCATATTTTGACTCTACATCTACTTTATTTGATGGAAAAATGACTGGGGACACACCTACACTTTTAAATGTTAACAGTGACGGTTCCTGTCTCTCTGCTGTCAGAAACATCAGCAAATAGATTATAATAATAGAAGCTTCAAAAATAATTACAAAGTCTCTGCTCATTGCTATTGCAGTGGTATTGAATTCAAAAGCAGTGTCTGGCGCTTGTGCATAATTTAAAAAATTTCACCACTTCACAAGTCTGGCCTCTCAGGTTTCTCATCTGTTGTTGCAGTCAGGCGTGTAGCACATTACCTTAGGAGACATTTAAGATGCTTTACAGTTGGCACTACATCACCAATTAGCATAATGCTGCCTAATGTGCACGGACTTTTACACCTTTAGGATTTAAAAGAGTTACAACTGTGTCAAACAAGGTGACAAAGTGGTCTGCAGTGGGGAACAGAGCAGGGCTCTGAAATGTGTCTTCTCGCTGTAAAACAAAGCTGTAATTTAAAGTTACGGGGCCAAAGAGTTTAATGGACCCTGCTCAAATTCCTGGCGTCAACTCTCTTTGTGAATCATAGAGGGGCTGAGCCATCGAGTTTATTTCCCATGTACAGGATTTTACACTTTCACTGAAGTAAAAGAAGAGAGTGGAAGGTAAGGAGTTGTTAAGAAGTGTTATGAATTAAAGTGAGCATACTAGCAGGACGAAACACATGTAACATGCAAGAGTAAATAACATTAGAGTATGCAAATACTGCATCTGTATTACAGTACAACACATTTCAGTGGTGTATAGTTATATTGCACTCCAGGCTTCTATGGTTATATATATAGTTACATATGTTCATGTTTGTCATTTTTAATCACCTATATCTAATACTATCATAATAATATTTCTTAGTAGATGGCAAATTACCTCATACGTATATATACTGTACATACAGTATTCTGTATATATTCAGTGCTCTGTCATAAACTGTTCTCTGCTCTGTGGAATCGTATGTTGTTCTTTATTTGAATTAGAATTAGCAAAAAAAAAAAACTTACAAAACTTCCAACTGAGACATCACCTTCTCTCCCTCTTACACTCCGAGTCTCTCTTTCTCGCTCACACTCACCCTTAACTGAAAATGTGACGACTGATCTTTTCTGTTGAAGTCAGCAGAATTTCTCTGAAACGTGACACTGACAACAGCATGTGTTCCACTGAGGCAGTTAGCGGTCTCTAATTTTTCATGCCTTCGTTGAGTATGATTAGAAACACTCCATAAAATGCCATTCAGGATGTATCTGGTAATTACATGTAGAAATGACACAACTGTCTATTGTCAAGTTGCTGTTTGTCCTCCCTGGAAAACTGCAGCGCAACCTTTAGCATCTTAGTGACAACACCTACTGGATATGATAATGTAGCTGAGCTGGAACTATACTGGAAGGGACTATATGTGCCTGCAGCTTATGTTTGTCACCAGAATGTGTTTTTAAGTTTGTGAGAGTGTGAGAAAAGTATATTTGTGCTGTGCGGGTGCAGAAAAGCGAGAGAGGGGGGAAACGAGCATGGGCTGTATAGTTATATGTAAATTGATGTAAGCATGTGTGAAATGGGAGGAGATGCATTTCATTGTGGTCTTTATCGTTTAGGGAGGAGAGGGGATTGAAGTGGGAGACTTGACATAGTCTGGGGATCAAGTCTTTCAGAGCCTCAAATAGCGTTGAAAAACACAATCAAACCAGTGTTCCCTCTCCGTGCTTCACCCTCGTGGTCTAATATATACAGGGAGGCAGTCACAGATGCGCTTCATGGTATACTGTGTGCTATCGATCTGCTTCCATGTGGTTAAATGCACGTTTTCACATTCACAGCCCTGCTTCCTGGCCAAGTCTCAGACCCCTCTGTTTTTTCCTGCTGCCACTCTCACTCTAACTCTCTCTCTATCTGTCCCTCTCTCTCTCTCTCTCTCTCTATCCCTCTTGCACTCTCGCTCAACACTCACACATTTTGTGGAATCGTTTCAGGAGCTTCAGTTTGAACGACTGACCAGAGAACTCGAGGCAGAGCGTCAGATCGTTGCCACCCAACTCGAGAGATGCAAAGTGGGATCAGAGGGAGGAAGCATGAGCAGCATCAGGTAACAGAGCAACCCTGTCTGTCTGACTGTCTGTCTGTCTGTCTGTCTGACTGACTGTCTGTCTGACTGTCTGTCTGTTTATAAATCAGTCTTTTATTCATCTCAAAATGGGTAATTTCATGGTGCAAGTCTTTGCAACCTACACAGTCTACCACAGGGGGCGCCATCAAGTCTGTGCTTCCTCTGGGGCTTGAACCCAGGACTGTGTGTAAGGCAGAATATCCAAGACTTTTCCTTTCAAGGTTTTATTCCGAGTGACTTACACCTGATCGTACAAACAAACTGTGTGGCCATTGCAGAGACTTATCTTAGACTTTTCCTTCTATCACTCTGTGTCTGAATTAAACCTTTGAGGCTCAATTCTGATATGACTCGAACATTTCTTTGGTGGGTTTAAGGATAAAAAAGAGATAAAAATTGTATGAAGTATAAGTATAAATATAGCTTGGGCAGATGTAGAGATTTTGACAATGCCATTCAAGCACAGCTTTTTGGTAAGGTCAGTGATTCATGTCAACTCTGAAACCTTTCAGGTTGAAAATAAGGAGGAGCCATGTATGCTAGATAAAAAAAGCTGTGTCCTCAAGTGTGGTTATATATAAAGTTATTGGTTATTGTATCCTTATCGACCATACCTACTTTGAAATACAGGGTGACTTGTGAGCCTTAGTGACTTGGACTCTGACCTGGGTTCAAAGACTGAGGACTTGTTGACAGTGTTGACAGTTTGACAGATGTTTTCATGCATGTGTGCTTGTGGAAAGTCAAGGTCTATTTCCCTGATGACAGTCGTACTGCATCATTACTGATGTATCTGATATCACTGTGTCATGTAGACTCACACACACCACAGCCTGGTGTTGTTTTTTTCAACCATGACGTGTTGAAATCACAGTTATCCCGACTGAGGGGTAGGATTATATAGACATGTCACAAATTATTAACACCGTAGTTGTCACCACAACTTAAAATTCCAAGGTCAAAAAAACATTTTCTTATATTCTTTGTTTGGTTTAGCTCACAGGTATAACACTTTGTGGAATCGTTTTTTTTCTCAACATTATTACAGCATTAATTTTTCAGTGCCCTGCAGCCCTTTAAAATATTTCATTATGTTTTCAAATTAATTCTGACCTTTCTGCTGCTACGATGTCTTTCACACTAGCAAACAGAGAAGGGGAGCGGAGATGACGTGAAGAACAGACGCATTTCGGCTCAACTAAAAGTTTTTTTCCAAACAACTCGGAGCTTGAGCCAACAATCTGTTCTCTGACATTTTCTGGGCTCCACCTCATAAATAGAAATCAAACGTAGGAGAGGCAAACTAAGAGAAGCTGAGTTTTAATGATTTACTCTGTTACACTCCTTCGTGTGTGTGAGTACACGTGTGTATATTTCCACGTTGGTTTCTGTTTGGCCAAACAGGCCGGTTTGTAGGAATTCTGCATCCTCCTGACTTCCTTCAGGCAGCTTATTGCATAAGTACACACGCTGAGCACTCAGACGGCGAAAGGCACTTTTCAACTTTTCCCACTTCATTCTGCTTATTACAGCTCAGTCTCAGGTGAGATGTTTCTGTAAAAATTTAAAGGCTTCCTTACAAGTTCTGCTCCAAGGTTCTATGGTTTCTTAATGCAACTGGCGAGGGATATTCAAAAGCTGTACACCAGCTTTATAAACAAAGACCCAGGATTGTTTATATAGCAGCAGTAAATTTATGTTTTACAGATTCTAAAAAAAAAAACACACAGTATTACAAATAATCTACATATACAGTAAACACAGGCTTGGCTAAAATAGTCTTTTAGTCACAGCTTTTCCTTAATCAGCCTTGACTTTTTTTGACATGAAGTACTTAGTACACCTGGATTTGGGGATTTTCCACCATTCTATTCTGCCCATGCTTTCAAACTCTTTCTGCTTGGTTGGACAGGGATGAACTATTTCTGTTTCTCCAGGGATTTTTGATGGGTTCAAGTGACATTCACAAAGTTATCACAAAGCCACAACTTGTCTGGTCCGTGTGCTTCAGGCCCAGTCTGAGTACTTCTATTTTTAGAGAATATAACTCTGTTATTGCATTGGTTCACTTTACCTAAAAGCAGAAAGCGTTCCCTTTGCTTGTCCTTGAAAGGATGATGCTGCCCCGACCAGGCTGCACTGTTAGGGCATTGTTTAGCGAGTAATAAGGTTGGTTTTGTTTAAGGTTTTGTTTTTATAGACTAAGTTTTAAAGTTATACTAAAACACCTCAAAAACCAGGGTGTAGTTTGTTTTTATGATTCAGCAAGTCCGTGATGCTAACATACTTGACATAGAAATACATGTATAACAGGCACAAGAAAAGCATTCTAAAAATATGATGATGGGCTTGAGGCCTGTGCTGATGCCTGTGGACACAGTCATTTATGTGTCTGCACCAGCATTAGCGTCTGCTGTCAAGTCTGGTGTCTCACTGTTACATCATCTTCTGATTGTCACGTTGGATACTAAGGGTTGGCATGGCTAAGCTTTCAGTCGCTGACAGTTAACTGGTCTACAGCTTTTTTTTTTTTTTTTTTTTAGCTTGTGACGACTTCACTTTGACTAAATAATTTATTTTAACTATTTGGATAGACACAAAGCTTTCATCCCTCTGAATGCTTTTGTTTTGCTGAGCCTAAGTATAGACGGTAAAGTTTGCAACACCACTGTGGATGATCACAGGGTTTGATTCAATTCAGCCAGACAGAGCTAACCTTTCTGATGGGCCCCAGCATCACTGCTCATTTTCTTCTCCTTTATCGGGGTCTCAGTGACAGGCATCATCTAAATTTAGAGTGTGTGGAAGGCTCTGTGTGAGTAGATGGTCGAATAGAGCAGACTTAAAAAAACGAATTACAGACAAATGACCACTTATTGTATTTAGGGGGAATTAGTATTCACCTATATATGTTTAATTTAAACATATTAAAGCCTTTCTCTTGTATTGATGAATGACTAATGATGAATGACCAGATCCTCCACCGATCTCCTTAAAATATTACCAAGTGAACAAGCAAATTCTATAGCTACTGTCGCTTTACTGAGAGAATTGATGATGTTACACACTAGTGAGATTAAGTGTCAGGAGGGTTGCATTGATCGTGAGATCCATCCACTCATTCTTGCCTTCTTGCTTCATAAAATCTGTTTGAGTTCACTGTTTACTGCGGGCCCTCGGGCTCTGGGGAAATGTACTGGCCATAGATGTTTCACAGATGAAACAAACACCATTCATAAGACATTGGGACCATTTTACAAATGTAATTAAAAATGTAATCTTTGGGTTAGAAATTTGGATTAAAATTGAATTTATATGATGTGAGAATTTATTTCTTTTTAGCAAGAATAATCTTTTGAATATCTTGAATAAAAAGTTTTCTGCACCAAACTGTTGCATAGTGTAGTGTCCCAAAGCAATTTTTTGTATTTTCTACTAGAATACCACCTTGAAGGTGCCAGCTTTTTTGCCCAATTTCATCCTTGGCTATTGTGCAAAACAATTTCTCCAGGCTGGAGAAATTTTCCAAAATTAGCTTTTTTTTTTTAATTTTTAGTTAAATTTAGGCCAAGTTATATTTTGTAAAATTTTTAACATCTTTCTGAAAAATGGGTATTCCATGCTATAGTTTTATATGAATTGATTTTTCAGGTTCATATTCATAATAATTCATAATAACATATTTTAAAGAAAACCATCTTTCATCCTATCTAAAGGTATAAAAACCCTTCAATAGTGTCATCTGTGTATTGTAACCTGATGCTGCCACACTCACAGTAGCGGGTCACTCTCTCTGTTAGAAGTAGGTCAGGGTAAGAGTGCTTTTAGTGCCACAGGTCTGGTCTCACGGGGTGTTAAGATGTGTCTCGGTGTGTGTTGTTATTCTAAATAGGTGCAGTCCTCTATCACCCTTTTCATGTTTTATGGCCAATTCTGGGAGCAAGTGTTTGCGTGTCCATGTGTATTCTTGACAGCTGCTGTGAGCCTGCGTGTCCTTAGTTGAGTAACGGACAAAAAAGCAATCGAGGTTTCTCCATGGACTCTTACTCAGAGCTAAAGATCCCCAACCCACCCAAAAAAAAAAAAAAGGCCAACTGTGGCGCAGAAACCCAGAGCATTAGTGACTAACATCTGTTCACACTGTGAGCTGTTGGCATGCGACACAACACTTCACAAGGGGGAAACACTGGCACACGCACACACACCCACATGCAAACAAGTCGACTCCCAACACCATGCCGTGACTAATTTATCATTTTTCTAACATTAGCGGTAAGTGGCAGCCAGTGGGAGATG